ATTCGGACCTGCATACTGGATACACGGGGCAATCGCACTCGATTAATCCGTGTATCCGAAGCAGACTCGAATTGGATTCCTATTCGAACCTGCATATTGGATACACGGGGCAATCGCACTGGATTACTCCGTGCATCTGATGCAGATTCAAATTGGATTCCGATTGGAACCTGCATATTGGATACACGGAATCATCGCACTCGATTACCCCGTACATCCGAGGCAGTCTCGAATTGGATTCCTACTCAAACCTGCATATTGGATACACGAAGTAATCGCACTCGATTACTCCGTGTATTCGAAACAGATTCGATTTGGATTCCGATTGGAACCTGCATATTGGAAACACGGAGTAATCGCACTCGACTACTCCGTGCATCCGAGGCATATTCTAATTGGATTCCTATTGGAACGTGCATATTGGATACACGAAATAATCGCACTCGATTACTCCGTGTATCCGAAGCAGATTCGAATTCGATTCCTATTGGAATCTGCATATTGGATACACGGAGTAATCGCACTCGATTACTCCGTGTATCCGAAGCAGAATCTAATTGGATTCCGATTGGAACCTGCATATTGGATAACTACACGGGGCAATCGCGCTCGATTACTCCGTGTAGCCGAGGCAGATTCGAATTGGATTATTGTTGTAACCTGCATACTGGATACACGGAGTAGTCGCACTCGATTACTCCGTGTACCCGAAGCAGATTCGAATTGGATTCCTACTGGAACTGCAAATTGGATACACGGAACCATCGCATTCGATTACTCCGTGTATCCGAAGCAGATTCGATTTGGATTCCTATTGGAACCTGCATATTGGATACACTGAGTAACCGCACTCGGTTACTCCGTGTATACTGGCGCCAGCAAGCGTCGCTAGTGACAACAACAACAACAACAACAACAACAACAACAACAACAACAACAACAACAACAACCAACAGCAATCATTTTAAGACTGTTCGCCCTTAAATGCTCGAGCGTCCAATAGCGCCTATTTCCCAAACCCTCGATACCCGCCTCCGATCGAACCCGTCTTCGATCGAACCCCTTTTTGGGGGTAAACTTTTCTTCCTTGCAGGCCGGGCCCCGGCAAGCGGCGGGGCGGCCGCGGACCGTCGGCCTGGCCAGCGGCAGCGCTGATCGGCGGGGCGGCCGCGGACCGTCGACCCGACCCCAAGAGGGACGGACAGGGGACCGACCACGACGACGACGACGACGACGACGACGACGACGACGTCGAAGACGACGGCGACGACGACGACGACGGCGACGACGAGCGAAAGCGAGAGCGAGAGAGAACGACAACAGGGCCACGAAGGGCACGAAGTAGGCCACGAAGGGCGACAGCGGGGACACGAAGGGAATGCGTATGGGGCCACGAAGAGTGCGAACGAGCGGGGGCCACGAAGTGCAGATTATGCGGGGCCACAGATGGCAACTATGGGGCCACTGAGGGTAGCAACTGGGCCACGTAGGACAATGAGGGGGACACAAATGGCGACAGCGGGGCCACGAAGGGCATGCACATGGGGCCACAACGGGCGCGACTCCTGGGTGCCTGGGTGTCGGGAGCGCGGCGCTTGGGCAAATTGCAGGAAATTCCAACGCAAGGCTATTCTTCAGTAAGTTGCAAGCAAGTCTCCAGCAAGAGCGCGACTCCAGAGCTCCGGGAAAGCGATTCCTGAATAAATTGTAAGGAAGTCCCCAGCGAGAGCGCGATTTCTGAATAAAATGCGAGGAAGTCTCGGGCGGGAGCGGGGGTTTTGCCTAAATTGTAAGGACGTCTCAAGCGGGAGCCGTTGTTGTTGTAACCCGGGGGCCATGGGGCCAGTTTGAGCAGGAAGACTTTCCCTGTCAAAAAACAGGGTGCGAGCGTCGAGGGGCACACTGTGATTGAGAAAAAACAGTATGCACCGGTGAGGGGGGATCAACAATGATTATTCATCAGAATTGAAAATTCAACAACAACAACAACAACAACAACAACAACAACAACAACAACAACAACAACAACAACAACAACAACAACAACAACAACAACAACAACAACAACAACAACAGCAACAACAACAACAACAAAAACCAAAACAAAAACGAAAACAACAACAACAACAATAACAACAACAACAACAACAAAAACAACAACAACAACAACAACAACAACAACAACAACAACAACAACAACAACAACAACAACAACAACAACAACAACGACGACAACGACAACGACAACGACAACGACAACAACAACAACAACAACAACAGCAACAACAACAACAGCAACAGCAACACCAACAGCAACAGCAACAACAACAGTCAGTTTAAGACTGTTCGCCCTTATCTGCTCGAGTGTCCAATAACGCCTATTTCCCAAACCCTCGATACCTGCCTTCGATCGAACCCGTCTTCGATCGAACCCCTTTTTGGGGGTATACCTTTCTTCCTTGCAGGCCGGGCCCCGGCAAGCGGCGGGGCGGCCGCGGACCATCGACCCGACCCCAAGAGGGACGGACAGGGGACCGACCAGGACGACGACGACGACGACGTCGACGACGACGGCGGCGACGAGCGAAAGCGAGAGCGAAAGAGAACGACTGCAGGGGCACAAGGACACGAAGTAGGCCACGAAGGGCAACAGCGGGGACACGCAGGGAATGCGTATGGGGCCATGAAGAGCGCGAACGAGCGGGGGCCACGAAGGGAAGATAATGCGGGGCGGAAGGCAACGATGGGGCCACTGAGGGTAGCAACTGGGCCACGTAGGACAGATGCATATGGGGCCACCACGGGCGCGAACGAGCGGGGGCCTCGGAGGGCATACATATATGGGGCCACGAAGGGCAGCGAGGGGGCCACGAAGGGATGCAACGGGGCCACGAAGGGCAGCGAGGGGGCCACGAAGGGCTGCAACGGGGCCACGACGGGCTGCGACGGGGCCACGATGGGCAGCGAGGGGGCCACGAAGGGCTGCAACGGGGCCACGAATCAAAGCGAAGGGGCCACGAAGGACTGCAACGGGGCCACGAAGAGCAGCGAGGAGGCCACGAGGGGCTGCAACGGGGCCACGAAATAAAGCGAGGGGGCCACGAAGGGCTGCAACGGGGCCACGAAGAGCAGCGAGATCCCGATTCCTATTTAATCTGTGAGGGCGTCCTAAGCGTGAGCGCGGCTCCTGGGTGCGTGGATGTCCCACGAAATCGCCAAAGCACCGCTTAGATCAAGCCCTGGGACTGAAAGGGGATCCTCGGGGGGGGGGGAATTCTGAAAACAGTTGCCGGCCTGGGGTCTGGGGATCTGGTTCCCCGTCATATGATATAGACTGTAAAGGCTTCGCGCAACCCCACGAGCCCATCCAGAAACGATGCCCAGACGAGTTGCCCTGATCAGGCATGTGGAGGAGCACGCAGTGGGAGAGAGAGCTGGGTAAGGCGTCGTGCCCCACGAGGTGGAGGACGGAGGAAGAATCGGAGGAGCAGGAGGAGCAGCAGGGCGAGGGGGACGAGGAAGAGGGAGGAGAAAGGAGAAGGAACAGGCGGATGAGGAAGATGAGGATGAGGATGAGGATGATAATGAGGAGCATGAGGAGGAGGAGGAGGAGGAGGGCGAGCAGAAGAGCCAGATGTCTCTTGGATGCCTCTCGGGGTCTCTTCGGGGAGCCCTCTTGGGGTTCCATGGAGGGTTTCTTGGAGACCTCTTGGGGTTCCTTGGAGGGTCTCTTGGAGGGTTTCTTGGAGCCATCCTGGTCTTGGTGCTCTCTTGGCAGTCTCGGGGACTTCTAGAGCCGTCTTGCGTGCCTCTCGGGTGCCTCTTGGAACGTTCGCCTTTGCGCATCGGAAATATCTGTAAAGGCGAGAACGCGAAAATCATTCGAAACCAATGAACAAGTCAATGAATCCCACCAGCCCTCTGGGCGTCGGTGGTTTAGAGCGTTTCCTCTTCCACCCCTCCTGCTTCCCCTTCGGGGAGGGGTTTACCCCTCCCCCTACCCCCTCCCCTGGACCTGGACAGGGGGGCTCGCGAGGTGTCAGGGCGTCCAAAACGGCCTCGGCGAGGAAGCCAAAACCAACGCCAAGGAACAAGTCAACGAATCTGGCTTTTGGGGGGGCCTCGTGGAGGCCCCGTGGGAGGCTCCTGGAGATCTCGTCGGGGAGCCTCTCGGAGGCCCCTTCGGGCCCCCTCGGGAGCTTTTGGGGGGGGGGCCTCCCGGGAGCTCCCCGCGGGACCCCCCTGGGCCGAGGGCCCGAGGGGTCCGCTCGGGAGCCCCTGCTTTTGGACCTGCTCGGAAGCCTCCGGGGGGCCTCTGGGGCCGCTTCGGAAGCCTCGGAGGCCGTCTTGGAGCCCCCCTCGGGGCCGTCTTCGAGCTCCCTCGGGGCGTCCTGGGGGCCCTCTCGGGAGCCTCTTGGGGGCACTCCTGGGGGGCGATCTCGGAGGCCTCTTGGACACTTCTCGAGCCGCCTTGGAGCGTTGGGAATCCAAAAAGGCGACAGAGAGAGAGAGAGAGAGAGAGAGCCGAAAAGGCGAGAACGCGAAAATCCCTCAAAACTTTTGAACAATCTGTGAGTTTGGCTCTTTTGGGGGCCTCGTGGGGTCCTCTTGGAGGCCTCGCGGGGGCCTCGTGGAGTCCTCGGAGGGCCTCTTTGGGGCTTCTTGGGGGTCTCTCGGGGCTTCCTGGGGGCCTCTCGAGGCCGAGTGCTCAAAATGTCCGTTCGGGGTCCCCGCCTGGACCCTCTCTGGTCTTGGGGGCCTCTAGTGCCAGCAACGGCCGATGCGGTCGGCGCAACGGGCCAAATGCCAGTCTGCATGCTAGTTCCTACGGGTGCTCACTGGCAACAGCCTCCGTGGCCCATTCCAAGATGGATTCCAGCAGTCACAGGCTTCAAAGTGCTGCACTGCCGAATTTCGAATTCCGCATGCGGCCCGAGGGAGCCAGCCTGGCAGTCGACTGGTCTGGCCCTTGACAGGCCAGGCAGAGCCGCGCTCCGAGAATGTGCCAGGCTTGGAAAGAATGGGACCGCGCCGCTCAGGAGGAGGACTCCGCCTTCTCCGACAGCGGCGCCTGCCTCCTCTTGCCGCCCGGCACAAACGCAGCGGCGGCGGACCTCAGCCGGGTCCGAAGACCAGGGGGCGGCGGCATCATGACGGGATCCCTCATCGCGCTCGCGACAGGGGCGAAGGAGGCCGCCAGCCTGGGATCCCTCGTGCCGCGCGGGTTTGGCGACGCGTCACAGTACAGGAGGTCGGCCAAGCTGATGACCTTCGCGGCCTTGGCCTGCTCTGCAGCTGTGTGCTCCCGAGCAGGGGATATATCGAAAACCAGATCACACAGGGATACAGTTGCCGCGATGGTACCCTGGCCTCGCCGTGCCATATGTGATCTCGGAAGGAGGAGAATTACGAGTACCTGACGGGGGGCGATGTGCGCTGTTCGCGCACAAGAGCAAGGGTCTCTCGCCAAAGCGGATTGAGCCAAACTGGCTACGGAGGGCGTCTTGGGGCGTCTTGGGGCTCTCTTGGGAGCCTCTTGGATAGTACTGGGGCGTCCTTGGAGGCCTTGGAGAGCTGGGAAGCCGAAAAGGCGAGAAAACCCAAAAAACCTCGATCAGTGAATGCGTTCTGCCTCTTGGGATGCCTCGTGGAGGCTCCTGGGAGCCCTCGTGGAAGCCTTTTGGGGGCATCTTGGAGGTCTCTTCGACAGTCCAGTAACGCCAATTCTGGCCAATGTTTGAGCAGGGATCGACAGTCCCGGCATTCCTATAGTCCTACCACGAAATGTTCTTAGAACCCAAGAATGTTCCAAGAACAAAAACAATGTTCTAACATAAACCCGGTGTGATAAAACAAGACAGACTCCGCCAGAAATGTTCTAAGAACATGTCGTGGAAACCACAAAAGGTTCTTCGGACATTGTTCGGTAGGGCTACAGGCGAGCCAAGACGCTTCGCCACTGCTTGAAATCTGGGGCCAGCATGGGCCGTTGTGGCGGTCTCGAAACACGTCTTCAAGCGATCCTGGGCCATCTTCGGGCGATCTTGGCGGACCTCCGGCGCGCTGGCAGGGCTCCGGGCAGCCCGGTCCACACACTTGTGGCTGAGGTTCCGGCCCAGCGGCTCTCAGACCTGATCCCCCGTTATTGATATATATATATATACATATATATATATATATATATGTATTTATATATGTGTATATATATATGAACACACCAGACTGCAGTGGCGCTTCGCGCCATGCACCTTGGTCCTTGAAGTTTGGTATGCAGGCGGAATAGCAGGAAGGTCAAGCCGACAATTTAGCGATAACTCCTGGTTGCCTTTTCTGGCATCGCCGCTAAAATAATGTTATTCGTTATCCTTCCTCCATGCTTCTTTTTCCTTATTTTCGCCATGCCCTGCGCATTCTCCCCATCCCCCTCAGCTCTTTTTTGCGGAGGCTCCTCCTTGGAGAGCCTCTAGGGGCCTCACAAAAGTTGTTTCAGGCTTTCTTAAGGCCTTCTGGAGACCTCCTGGCCGTATTCTGGGGGCCTCCGGGGGCTTCCTCGGGCCACCCTGCCTCCAACCGCGGTCTCCCTGAACGACCGAATCACGATTCGGAATTCTTCGGAGAGTGTCTTTGGGCCATCTTCGGCCACCATGGGGCTCTCTGAGGGCCATCTTGGACCCGTGTTGTGCCGTTTTGGGGCTCTCTTGGACTGCCTGGAAGCCCTTTCGGATGGTTGTGGGGAGATTTGGGAGCCTCCCAGGCGGCTTCGGGCGCCCAGAAGACCGCCGTCTTGGAGCGTCGGGAAGCCGAAAAGAGGAGAACCCTAGAATCCACCAAAAACCCATAGAAAATCAATGATTTTTGCCTCGGGGGGCCTTCTTGGGAGGGCTCTTGGAGGCCTCTTTGGGGCCGTCCTGGAGGCCTCTTGGGCCATCTTGAGGTCACGTCGGTCACTCTTGGAGCGCTCTTGTGCTGTCTTGGGGGTCTCTGGGACGTCTCCGGCGACCCCCCTGATCGCCCTGGGTGTGCTGGGAAGGCTTGGCGAAACGCCATGTGAGGCCCAATGGCCGCTTCTAGGCCCGTCTGGAGGGTCCCAAAGCCCCAGGTCCCGGGAGTCCGGTTTTGGGAGGGGGGGACGGGTTTTCCCCCCGCCCGGGCTTATAAATATGTACGAAGAGGAATATATATATATATATCTATATATATATATATATAAATGTGTGTATGTACGTATGTTTGTATGTATGTACGTATGTACGTATGCACGTATGTACGTACGTACGTACGTACGTACGTACGTACGTACGTACGTACGTATGTATGTATGTATGTATGTATGTATGTATGTATGTATACATATATAAGTAAATAAAAAGATAAATAAACATATATATATATATATGTATATATACATATTTATATGTGCATTGTCGAACCATCGCGCGCGCTTCGCGCGCGCTCAAGTTCTACCCACGCTTGATGGGCTGACGCGTGGAATATCATCTTTGTCATTTCTTGCGTTCAGGGACTCTCTTGGAGGCCCTGCGCAGGCCTCGAAATCGTATAGGAGGGGAACTGCGGAAACGCAAAAATCACTAATTCCCGTTAATTTTTTAACGATTGGGGGCCCACGAAGGCTTCCTCGGTTCTTTTCTGGGAGCTGAGGAGAGCCTAAATTGTGGTCTCTTGTGCAAGAGTAGACAAGGAGGCGAACTTGGAAAAAAAGGAATTGTGGGATTCCCCTTTCTTCCCCAAAGTCTAGAGCCTGGACTGTGTGTTAGACGTTTTCTGGATGCAGGCCACGGTCTGTTTGGATGCCTCTCGGGGTCTTCGTGCAACAATAAGCAGGGGGAGTTCGAAAAAAAGGAATTCAATAATTACACTGTTTCAACTCATGGGATCATGGGGTTTCGATGTCTGCAATGGTTTCAGGAGCAGCCAATAAGACACGAAGACGATCCAAGAGAGTGCCAAGACAGCGTCAGAGAGTTCAACAGCATTCAAACAAATGCATGTGGCCCCGACGTCTTGACGGGGCTCGAGGAAGAGGATCGGGAGTAGGAGCCCCAACTTGGAAGAAACAAACCAAACAAACAAAACAAACAAAAAAAAAAAAAAAAAAAAAATGTAATTCCCTCTTTTTGTTTCAAATTCCTCGGTCTTGGAGCGTTGGAAGCAGGAAAACGTGAGAAGGCGAAAAACGTCGACCAAAAACCATCAACGACTTGACCTTCTTCGGGCTCTCTCGGGACGGCTCTCGAAGCTCTCTTGGGCTGTTCTTGGGACCTCGTCGGCGCTTTTTGGGGGCCTCTCAGGGGTCTGGGGCGTGCTGGGGGCCTCTGGGGGGTCCAGGAGTCCTCTCGGAGGTCTCTGGAGGCCTCCTGCTCCCGCTCTTGGGCCCATCTTGGGCATGCTCTGGGGTGGTTTGGAACTGTCCTGAGCGCCTTTTCAGCAGTCTTGGGGAGGAGGAGGAGGAGGAGGAGGAGGAGGAGGAGGAGGAGGAGGAGGAGGAGGAGGAGGAGGAGGAGGGGGGAGGGGAAGGAGGAGGAGGAGGAGGAGGAGGAGGAGGAGGAGGAGGAGCCTTCTTGGCCCGTCTTGGGGCCGTCTTGGAGCGGTCTTGGTACGGTCTTGGGGGGCCCGTGTTCGGCCGTCTTGGAGCGTTGGAAGCATAAAAATGGCGGGAAAACCAACATACAGTCGGGGCGTTGACCTAAGGAACCCGAAAGAAGGAACGAGGCCCCTTTTTTCCATAAGGTAACCTTCGATTTCCTGCCGAAAACATAAGGAAGCCTGAGGCAAGCTGTGAAACACTTAAGGAACGCGGAGCCCCTTCCTAACGAAAAGGGTTCCTTCTTCAAGGCCCCGACTGTACTTTTATGCATGCATAAAAACGATGTCTCTAGGCGCTCTCGGGAAGCCCCTCGGAGCTCTCTTGAGGTCTCTTGGAAGCTCCCTAGGAGCCAAGAGAGCCGCCCGAAGGCTATCATGGGTTGCTTGGGAGCGTCGTGGATCGTCCTTTTGGATTCTGGCGACTGCTCGTGGGCGTCCGCGGCTCTTCTGCAGCGTTTTGGGGCCTATGTGGGGGGGGCGGGGGACGCGGCACCGGGAGCGTAATCCACATGCGATCGAGGTGGAGGACGCCCCGAGAGGGGGCCCGGCCTCTTTGTTATATCTATAGATATATAGATATATTCATATGCATGTACATATACATATACGTATACCTATACATATACATATACATATACATATACATATACATATACATATACCCATGTATGGATACATACATACATACATGCATACATACATACACACATATATACCTACATACACGCATAGATGCATAAATACATACATACAGACATACATACATGCATGCATACATACATACCCACACATGCATGCATACATACATACCTGCATACATACATGCAGACATGCATGCATGCATACATCCATACATACATACATACCCATACATGCATGCGTGCATGCATACATGCATACATACATACGTGCATACATGCATACATCCATACAGACATACATACATACATACACACCTATACCTACATATACACATACACACATACATACATACATATATACATACATACATACATACATACATACATACATACATACATGCATGCATGCATGCATACACATATACATACATAGCTATATATTTATATATATGCACACAAATACATACATACATACATACATACATACATACATACAGACAGACAGACAGACAGACAGACAGACAGACATACACATACACATACACATACACATACACACATACACACATACACACATACACACATACACACATACACACATACACACATACACACATATACACACATACACACACATACACACACATACACACACATACACACATACATGCATTCATGCATGCATGCATGCATGCATACATACATACACATGCATACATACATACATACATACATACATACATGTATACACACACGCATATTCCCTTTCTACATTTTTATAATCCAGGGGGGGGGAAAGCCCCCCGAAACGAATCCCCCTGGATCCGTGGCACGGGGGGGGGGGGGCGGAAACCCCTGCCAACCAGTGCACGCAGGCGGTTGGCAGTCCTAAATCGCTCAGCCAAAGGCCCAAGAGACCTTTAAGACAGTCCAAGATGGCATCCAGCTTGCCTTGGCCCCCGCCAGATGCCCGAAGACGGCCCGAAGGTCACCCCCAAGAGGCATTCGAACCCCAACAATGTTGATGTTGCATTGGTTTTTGTATGATTTTCGAATACTTGCTGATTCTGGGTTTGCACGCGCCCGAGAACGCTGGAAGCGCACTGTCGTTTGCTCCAAGACGGCCCATAAAGCCACATGAGCGCCCAAGACGATCCCCGACCTGCCAACAAGAG